AGCTGGTCAAGAGGAATCCGCCGTCGTCTTCTGGTTGAACCGACCTTCGAATCTCTTCACCCAACACTTTTATTCGAAATGGAAGTAAGCTCAACAATTAGGAAACAAGAGATTCCTCGAAACCACACTTTTCTTCGCATATATGAAGTACCTGAGCCAGGGAGATAAGAGACGGATTCTACGGGGCAATAGGGCGACATGTATAGGACTTTTGGGAAGAGGAGATTTCTCGAAACCAAACTTTTCTTCGCATTCTTTGCACAATGCAACAGTCTTCCCTACGTGACAATTCTCCCTCGGTTTCCGGTGAGAGCACATCACGAATTTGTTCCAACTAACCTTTCCTCCGAAGTGGAAATTCATTTTACTACTTGCTGACATTGTTCACGGTGAATTGAAGAGAAGAGTCTATTTCTCCATTTCAATTTACATCCTCAGGTATCCCAAAAACGTTTCTTTTCCAGACTAGCCTGAATCTATATCATATGACGTGGTGGTTAACTTGGCGAGTCCCGCTGGGGGTGCGATGAGACGAGATCGAAACTGTAACCCATTTCTGCCTGGATAAGAATACCTTTTGGGAATTCAAGTCTATGTGAAATTCAATGGAAACGTTAGGTCTACTTATATGATTGTGATAAAATTAAACTATTAGTCCCTTTTTCATCTTAAATGAAATTTGGTGAATATACTTAATATAAAGCATAAGATGGCAACCAACCAAATCATGAAATGTCCCAGAAAGTGAAAAATGGTTGGGCTTTACTAAATTGTTAAATTTGCAGCCGACCACCTTTCTTGTCTTTGTGCTTGATGAATTATCGTAAAACATAATGTCCTGCTCTAGCCATGTCAACTGTATTAGAAGCAAAAACTCAGCAAGGCTTCATCAGGGTTGCAGTATGAGGAGCTAATGATTTAAGCACACAAATTTAGTCACCATTCCAAGAAAATTTTTACATAGCTTTCGGTCAAGCAAGCCTAAGAATATCTTCCAATCGCCTCTTTAAACAAAATGAAACCTGAATCAGGTGTATTCACCCTATTTCGTCTAAGGTGATAAAAATAAGGTACTTGTATTTTCCCACAATGATATAGGCAGACCTCACGTCTTCATTAAATTGCACATGTCCTTGATTTTCTAAGGCTATTACTCAGAGAATGCGATATGGAAAAATGATTGGCCTTCCGTGAAATTTACAACTTATCTGTGACTCAAGCTCATTCGTGACATTGTGTCGTGGTAGTTAACTTTCACATTTTGAGTCCCGCTAGAGGTGCTGAAGAGACCAGCTCAGGCGAGGTCAAATTGCAGTACCCTCCAGCCTGTATGAGGATAACTTTTGGGAAGCAAGGCTGTATGAAGTTCAACGAAAACTTAGGGTGTATCCATAGCAATGTGTCAAAATTCAACTATCAGTACTTTTACCACCTTAAATAAAATAATATGAATAAACCTCATGTATATGATCCAGTAGCCGTGTCAAAAGCCTAGTAATAAAAGGAAAATGAAAGATATTCTGACCTTAATCTATCAGGAGATTCTTTGAAAATCACTTTTTTCACATAACAATTCCTTTACTTACTAAACTAGGCAGGAATGGGTAAAATCTTATAGGCCCCTGAAAATTACTTTTACTTAAATGGATACGTTCCAATGGACTAGCCTTTGCGACTAATGTAATAAATGGCAAAAATTAGTTAATTTTTTTGTTACCCACCTAAAAGACAACTTCTCTTTACTTTCTACCGTTCGACTCTTGTGCCAGCTCTAAGTCGTTGAGCACTTCACTTCCATTGGTCTGGTTCATTGCTTATGTTTTGAAGAAATTTCACACAGTTTAACAATCATTCACATTAATCTTTATCTTATTTGTTAGGACTTGAAGTGATGCTGCTGGCCGAAGTAGTGTCATCAGAAGGGCTAAGTTCAATACTGTATTGAGGTAAGTATTTATCAATCTGGGGCAAAGCTTTAATTCTTTTATTGCTATATTCTTCAACCTCCCGTTCGTTGTAACCACCATTTCGGGCAATAAAGCCAGACGTATTTAAAGAGGGCACATTGCTGACCGTCATCTTGTCTGACTCATGCTCCACTTCAGACTTCTCTTCGTTACTATACTCCCCACTTGATTTGCAACTTTCTTTGTTGGAAGTTTGAGGCGACTCTTCTGTGTCCCTGCTTTCTGAGCTGGACTTTTCTTCTTCAGGCTTGACGGTGGACAACGAATCCGAAGAGAGTCGTGGGCAAAGATCGAGTGTTTCACTGATGCGCGGACTCGCCTCATTTTGACTGTCAAGAAGCAGCGGTTGCGTCAAGCCGTGTGCAGTTGCATTGCATTCGGAAATAGGCAAAACGTCTGGTCCAATCACCCTCACTTCGAGGTCTGGAGGTTCCGTTTCGATCGTTTCAACCGTTGGTCGATACGTCAAACTTGGTGGATTTATCTCTTTTGTAGACACTGAAAATGTCAGACTGGCAAAACTATCCAGCATGGCCAGCATATCGCATGAGACGTTTGCAAGTACCTGATCGACCAAGTCGAGAGTGGTAATCATGATTGCATTATCACTGTACTCTTGACTTGTTAGTCTCTTGAGTACCGAAAAATCCCTCTGGAGGCTGTCGGAAGCGTCAGGACAAACGAACGGTTGAACTATTCTGAATGATTCTCTCATTTCTGGTTCTGCCATGCTGACATCGAAGGAAATGTGCCTAAGGCTTGGCAACCGCAAAATTTCTGAAAGTATGGAATTACTATTTGAATCTGGCCGGCACTTTTGTGCCATAGTTGATGAGTCCGTCAGATTCAATCCGGCTTCAGACACTATCTTAATTTTATCCTCTCGTTCGCCTTCTTCATCCCTTTTGTGCGGCTCAACTAAAACGGGTATTGCCTTCTTGTCAGAGCCTTCACTTTTGTCCACTTCCAATCGGTTGTCTGCCAATCCAAATGCCACTATCGGTTCTGTGTCAATTTGGGTGCTGCTTGACAGTTGATTCGACTCATGGCTGCTGAACGAGCGGAACATCGGCGTCGGAGTTCGCTCGATTCCAAAACCTATTTCGGGTTTTGGGTTGGCGTCAGATGATATGCCTTTTTCCAGCCGGAAAGTATGATGCACCCCAACTGCTTCATTAATCACTTTTGGCGAATAGCTGAGGTTTTCCGCGAACAAGGGCACTCTGTAGTTGGGCGCTTTCACTGCCAAAGCGTCGGTGCTAAAGTTGGATAGATTGCTCACGGTTGAAGCCAATTTTGGCAATAGAGGTGAAATGCCATGTTCATTATGCTTTCGTCGTAATTCATGAATTAAAGAGGACAACTCTTTTTCCAGCCTAAAAATGACATTCAACTTGTGCTGAACAATGTCATTATGCACGGAAACCTCCTTTGGGGCAATCTTAACTTCACCTGTCGACCCGTTTACTGCTGATTCTTGTCTGCATTTTTTATGCAGTATTGTGGGATTGGTCTGTTGCTTCAGTGTGTCTGTCATCTCTACAGTGGCCTCGTCGACAATTCGATTAATTTCACACAATTTTCTTTCAATCTGATCAAGAAATGACCTGTTCCGCTCACCTCTCGTGTAGCCGCCTCCGTCCAAAGTGTTGATGATCACCGCATTCGAACGAATACCGCGCTCCAAGTTGACGCTGGCGTCATAACATGCTTCAGCAACACCTACAGTCCCGCGTGAATGAAAGTTATCCTCTGTCCTATTTGCATGTTCTGCGTGTAATCGGTACGTGTCCGGCCCATGTTTGTCTGTTTGGCTGCCTTTCACGCCTTCATCGAGCAGACCAACAAGGCTTCGCAACATGTTCAACCGGCTAAACAAGACATCCAACACAAATAGCGCATCGTCCAGAATGAGCGAAGTATTCTTCTCTCTGCTCGGCGCACAGCTATGGCTGACCGGCTGAACGGGTGCTTCATGGCCGCTACAAGTTAGACCGCATGAACTGCTGACCCGATGCGAACGGCTTGGATATGCCTTGAGACTGTCACTTTTGCAGTCGCATGTGCCGTGTTTGTGCTGTCCATGGCGCCGATGATGACGATTATGATGATGCCGATGTTGATGAGACAAATGTCCCTTCGCCCAATACTCCGATTCCCATGCTCCCACGGCTTCAGCCGACGGTCTATGCTCCATTGTTCGATGGCAGCTTCGACCTCGGGTCCGATGCTTGTGATGATGATGGTGGTGATGATGATGATGATGCTGATACGATTCTTTTGGAGGCACTGTAGGCATGGACGGAGAACCGGGGGGTGGAGGTTTGGCTGTGGTGCATGAAACGCCCAGATCGGGGCCACTGAGATCTTTCGAATCACACACCGACCAATCGGGAATATAGGAGCCAGAAATGAATTCGGCCGACTGTGTTCCCCTATTTTCAGATGCTGGCACAATTTTGCACGATTTTTCAGAGCACTGCGGCCGACTTTGATTGATGGCCTTTAAGAGTAAACTCTGTTGACTTGGCTCCATATTCGATCGAATAAGTCGTCTTCTACGGTAGCTGTTTTTTTGGATCTCCGAGTAGCCTTTGGCAT